CGCTACAAGTAAGATGCAAGCTAGAGTATGCATGACCTCGAGCTTTCCATCGTTGTCGATCTTGTGTCTGCATGCTGCAAGGGTGGCCGTCATGGCGAGGGACTGGTGTCGTGCTTATCGGCGATGTTTGTTCATCATGGTTTCCATCATTTGGGCCTATCGCGTCGTGGCCTCGGTCTTTTTGTAGCTACAAGTGAGTGGCTATAGTAGCTTGCCTGATGGCTTCCATGGTCCTCGTTGTTGGGGTCTTCCCCAACCACAGGCATGGAGGAGCTAGAGTAAGGTTTTCGTAAACACCAGCGTGGATGGTGTCATGAAGCCCAAGGCCCGGTACCGCTGTCAAGTATAGGGGGACGATGCCCAATGATATGAAGCTGGGGGGCCGGATCCCAAACGATTGGTGGACGGAGGGACTGTGCCCTGAGGAGTGGAGCCCGATGGGATCAAACCCTTAGGGCTCATTTGGTTGTTGGCGATGATAAACCATGGGCAAGAAACCCCCAAGGGAGGATTTCCCTACTCAATTGAAATCCCGGACTACCATAGGTAAATTCCCCATTGTTGTTTGGACAACAAAAGAGGGGGAGGGGGGGGGGCAGGGGGAAAAGGAGGAGGAGGGGGCTTACCTTGGTCGAAGGAGGAGGAACACGAATGGCAATCGTTGTCGTTGCCAGACGGGGCAAAGATTTGAATGGAGTTGATCTTGTGAGAAGGAGAAACATGAACGCCAAGCCGGAGTCGTCAACGTCGCCATCGCTAGAGAGTAGAGGAGCATGCAAGTGCAGAGATTAGGGGCCGATGCAGAGGAAAGCGGGGCCTGCTATTTCGGTTGTCAGAGAGAGAGAATCTCGAGAGGCACCACTGATGCGTTGTCGCCTTTCGGTCGCAAGAGCAACCGAGCGAGGGTTTTCCTACCCAGTCTATAGAGGTGTGGAACTCTCTCTTGAGGAAAGGACGTGAAAAGGGTCGGGGTCCCTCCCCCCACATGGGTGCCCAAATGGCATGATGAATTCTTTCGGGGCTGCTCCGGCCCATGGTTTCTCAGGCCAGGGAATAAGTGGGGACCCCCCGGATCCCGGGCTACCAAATTAGCCCTTAGTGGTGGAGCCCGGTGGGATAGTTCCCTTAGGGATAGATCCCAGGTTACCTATAGCCGGAGGGATGGTGCTCGTGGGAGCAGGCCTGCTGAGGTTTCTGATGAGAGGCTTAGCGCTGGGCTGGGTGGCACCGGGGGAAGGGTATTGCTGGTGTTGCCTGTGCCTTTGGAGCTGTCATGAGGACCTGATCCAAGGGAATGGCTTAGGGAGGTTTCTCATCTTCAGTTTCTGGTGTTGAGGGGCAGCTTGTCGAGTTGTCCTCGTCGTCCCAAGACTACCTATCTCAGATGCAATCTTCAAACTCGTGTTCGTCTAATAGTGGACAACTGGAGGACAACATTGCAATCATATGGGGTGACTAGGTCGGCTATTGGGTTGTCGCAACATGAGTGCGGCGCCTCAACCCGTGGCCATGGTGTCGATTTCTTTCATGGGGGTTGCCAGAGCGATGTTCTATGGTCGCGCGGGGGTGGTGCTCGTCTACATGGCCCGCATGAGCCCGTATGTTCTCTGGCTATGGAAGGCGCGAAGGTGGCCGTTGATCTGGTATCCACCTAGAATTGTCATCGCTAGAGGGGTCAACGAGGGCTGATGGTTCCCTGCCAGCATTTCAGTAGCTACGCGCGGATCTAGGCAGCTATTGGTTCGTAGTGGTGCAAATGCCGGTGAAAACTGTGTCGACCTCGGTCATGGTTGACGTTGGCATCATCTTGGGCGTCGTCTCCTTGTCGAAGACATCATCGGTTGCAATCGTTGCCACCTCGTCTTGACTGCTCCAGGCGGAACCTAGATCTGGATCTCCCGAATCAGACGATGGAGTTGCCTTCGAGGACGTTCTCCTTCTTGGGGGCATTGTTTTGGAGTAGGTGATGCCTAGATGTGACAAAAGGAGGAGTGGTGTTGCATCTACCGCAACGACGACGGGTCTCGACGACTGACGCATGTTGATGGACGCGTGCAGGATGGTGGCGTTGTTTGGCGACGTGGTGGAATCGACAACAAAATGGCCTGGCTAGGTGAATCCGTTGAAGGTGCGATGGCGGAAGATGGTTGCGGCCGATTATAGAGCGTGTGCATGTAGTGCACGCAGAGGGTCTACTAGACCGATTGATGCTCTCGGCTTCCCGGTGGGCGTCTTGATGAGACCGGATTAGATTATATGTGTTGGTGCGAGGTCAAGGCACATTATCAAGCTTGTAGGTGTAGCAACTATGATTTTCTTTTGAAATAGGCTTTCGCCCCGCTTTATAAATAAAGCAAACAACACAACAAGGTACACGGCCGAACGATACATGGTAGTGAAGAAGCCCTCAATAAAGAAAATCTAAAGATGCAACATGAAGCATAGACCGATCCTAGTACATTGCCATGGCCCGACAATCAGCGTCATAGCTCCTCGACAACCCCCTCAAGAGGGTTATGGTGCCAAGCGTCGCCACTGCGAGTCCGCTGACATGGATTTTCTTTCGGAACCCCGGTACAAGGAATAGGTCCTCAACAACATCCTCAAGAGGATAACGACAGCCACATGCGTCGTTGTTGCCGGTGCTAAAGCGCGAAGATTTCGCTTGGGAACTCCTCTGCCCCACCAAGAGACACCATGCCACCACAGCGACGAAGATTGGCCTGTCCAAACCAGATTTGGGCGCCACCACCTCCGCTTGAGGAGAGCAGGCCAGAGCCATCCACCGTTACTCCCCTTGCTGCCCACACAACCAAGAGTCGAAGCCACCACCGCCACAACGGAGCCTGCCGGAGAGCAGTCTGAGTAGCACACCTTCTGAGGCTGCCCCGGCATCCAAGGATGATACCAACACCGATGCTCCAACAAGAAGACGCCACTCCCAAGCAACCCCACGGACTCCATCGCGACCTGGCCGGAGGTGACCGGAGCAAGCGCAATGAGCAACTAGCCCCGACTAGGTGGACCCGTGTCAACCCCTGCCCCGGCAAGCCAGCCTACGCCGGCGGCCAACTGCCAGCCAACACTACCAGGAGGGTAGGCGTCGCCTCGTCAGATCTGGCTGTCCAGATCTAGATGGGGAGAATACTTCGACATCCGACACCTTCTATCGCCCTGTGGCAGCCAGTACCTCCAGACGCCAATCGCCATCACCTCCGTCGGCCCCCACAGCATGCTCTGCCACCGCTGCGCCAGCGCTGAGGGCCACCACACAACCCAGCACACCGGACGTTGCAAGCCCGTGGGAGGAGACCGCGACACACCCACCGCATGAACTCCACCTCCACCACGCCGCCACCTCCACTGACAACTGCAGAGACGGCTGACCATGGCCCAGCTGTCCGCAACACGCCCCAACCCGTGTCGCCCGCTGGATCCGGCCGCAATTGCATCAGCTGCCGCCAGCGCATGACCGGGCGTGCCCCGCCCCAGCGCAACCTACCATGCCGCAGACAAGACATGGGGCCGCCGCCACGCAGACCTACCATCGCGCCGCCATGACCCACGCATCGCATCGCTCAGGCACAAAGACGCCGACCCAAGCTAGCCCCTGCCGCGCGAGGGGATGAGGAATCCCCGCCAGCGTCGGCGTCGGCCGAGGTTCGCCCGGTCGCGCCCTCTGGTGGCGGCGGGAGAGGGAGGAGGGGAGGGGAAGTGGAGAGGCGGCCGGTGGCTAGGATTCCTCCCCTGCCGCCCGCGGGGGCACCCGGGGAGGAAGGGAAAAGGCGGGAGTCCGTCTAGCAACTGTGGTTTCATAAGGTGGCATTGAGTTGATCCATATATTTGTTTTGTTGAACTCTGCTGAATACTATAATAAAAATGACCGTGTGCATCGCTTGATGTAGACGCCGAGGGTAATACTTTTTTTTTGAAAGAAAACCCCAAATAACTTTCATGTTTGTCATAATTCTTGGCTCACAACATCTTTCTCATAGAACCCACAACTGAACTACACGCATCCTTAGTTTCTTTTACGTGTGCAAGTTACTTATCTTAATCTCATATATGCCGATTTACTATACTCAGTGTAGCGAAAGAGTAATTTTTTCTTTCATTTTAGTAGAACGTATAGTAGACTTGGCGTTAACTTGGTTCTTTCACTCAGCACATACAATCAAATATGCACCACTACAATATACTCCATCCGTTGGTGCTTCCTCTATTCACATGCTTCAATTTTGATCATAAATTTAACCAGTGAGACCAACTGCGGCGGGAGCAAAAGTTATACCGGTGAACTTTTTCTCCTGCCGCAGTCGGTCTCATTGGTTAAATTTATGGTCAAAGTTAGACCTTGAAAAGCACGGGCGCGTCAAACTTTTTAGTTTTGTCCAAATTTATAGAGAAAACTGTAGATGTTAACATATTTTATTATAAACTTTGTTGAACATAAAAAAGTTTACTTGTATTTTATTAGAACAGAGGCAGCACTACTCCTAAATCCTAATCAGTGTGCCAGCGCATGCGGCTGCGCGGTAGAGCAAGTGCCGATGCGAAAGCCAACGGGCTCAAGCGTCCTTGCCGTCTCCTATGCTACGCGGAACAATACGGACACAGGGTCAACGCCACTAGAGAAGCTTCCATGGAGCAGTACAAGACCACGCGTAGTTTTCTCCCGGACGAACCAAAAACACTACTGCTATTCCTTTCTAAAAAAGCACTACTGCTATCTACTTAAAAAAGCAGAGCTCGTGCTCATGTGCAAGGTGGTGGTGCCGATACTAGCATAGCAGTGTGAGAAACCAACCAAAGATCCCAATGAGGTTCGTGCAAGGTGGTAGGCTTGCAGCCTTGGTTTACCAACTACGAGAAGCCAAGGGGAGAGCAGGATTCAAACATTTGAATCGGAGCGAGTCTAGCGATCTTAATTACTGGGCGAAATTGCAGAGGAGCGAGCAGGTAAACAAAACAGAGTGCGGGGATCGGCGAGCGGCATGCACCTGGAGGAGGCGTACTCGTAGAGCCTGCCGGCGGGGGAGAAGACGAGCAGCGAGACCTCGGCGTCGCAGAGGACCGCGAGCTCGAAGGCCTTCTTGAAGAGCCCCGAGCGGCGCTTGGAGAAGCGCACCTGCCGGCTCGTCCGGTCCTCGATCCGCCGCAGCTCCACACGCCCGCGCCGCGCCATCCCCACCACCCTCCTCTCCTCCGCCTTCTGTCCTGTTTCTCTCTTCTCTCGTCTTTCTCGGTGGTTGGAAAGGTGTGTCAGGGAGCGTGGCCGGAGCGAGCGAGCGAGAGGGGACTCCACTGCTCAGGGGAGCGTGGGGGAGAGATGGACGGGTCCGCGGGGGTGACATGGATGGGTCCGTGGGGGTGACGAATTACCGTACACCTCCCTCGTGGCCGCCAATGGTGGTAAAGAAAACATGGAGACGGCGAACAGAGAATTCACGAGCCCACTGATTTGCTTATAAAAATCGTTGATCCAGGACCGCACCCCCGGTTCATAAACAAACTTGGTAAATTCCAGATGAGGAATGCGGGGGTGAACCTGGCCGCCACTAGCCTTTTCAAACAAACAGTGCACCACCACCACCACTCCTGCACGACCACTGCACCCGTCCTTATCCACGCTGTGAAAAACAAGGGACGAGTCGGATTGGAACGTGTGTGTGTGGAAGCGGAGGGCTCCAGCTAGGACGTACGGCAGCTGGGCCGCCGAAATATCTGCCCGCGCCCCGGTGAGAACCAATGAGCCGAAAGTGGTTAAATTTCTCGAGGATAAGGATGCCGTGTAAGGCAAGGGCTGCTGTGGCGAGGCTTGCATGCCCTACAGCGCGATGTGATCAGAAAATGGACCCGCGCTCTCCTTGGATGCATCTGTGGTGTGACGGTGACCTCTGAAAGCAGGAGAATTTTGCTAGTGCTGCCGATATTAACGGCTCTGTCATCACCAATCACACTACACCTAGGGTCTCTTTCATTTGAAGATTCCAAACGCATAAATAGAAAAGCTGAAGGATTTTAATTTCCAGCATTTTCGATATAGTACTACCATATTTTTGGTCTGATTGGTTCATTGGTTGTATCATGGGAAAATCAAAGAATATTTTCCTAAGGTATTTTTATACTATAAGTATGAAGTGTGTGACGCTTCCGCGAGCGACCAGGAGGGGGAAACCTAGCGTCGCGGAGCCATCGGCCTCCGTCCCCTTCCGTCTCCACGTCGCCACCGGGCGAAGCCCGACTGGCGTCAGCCACCGCGGGTTCTCCTCTCCCCATGCTCGGTGATGACTCACGTGGGTTGGCGGCACCAGGTGGTGGCTGCGCGCAGGCGTGGTATGCAACGGCAGGGTCGCGAATGGTTGTCTCTACGCGGTGGACTGCGTGGTGTGGTCGCCCGTGGCGACAGCGGTTTCGATCTGGATGGGCTAGATCCGGTTGTCCGGGGCTTACGAGTGGCATGGGTGTCGCTGGTGGGACCTTCATGTCATTTCATGTAAGTTCGTGGCCCCCGGTGGTGGTGCTTGATGGAGCTATGTACCTAGGGTAGGGTCATGGACCTGTCCAAACTACCCAACCCAAGGACATCTCTAGAAGAAACCACCTGTCAGTCGACCTAGAGGTGTTCCACTCGACGAACTCGAAGACACTCAACCATGAAGCCAACAACTCGATCATGAAGCCAATCACTCGACGGCCAGGAGATCTAAAGTCACTTTGCGGGTAACGGTCTGTCATTAGTAGCCTTAATGGTCTTCATACCACTTTATGTGGGCGTTACCAGTAACCCCCTGTCTTAATGTACTTTAAACCCTGCATAACTGAGGGCTGGAGTGGTCTGGCGAACTCTATATAAGCCACCCCCTCCTTAGTGTAAAGGGTTCGCACCCCTGTAACTCACACGCGTATAATCCAGTCGACCGCCTCCGGGCACCGAGACGTAGGGCTATTACTTCCTCCGAGAAGGGCCTGAACTCGTAAAACTCTTGCACGTACAACTACTCCATAGCTAAGATCTTGCCTCTCCATTAGAACCCCCCTACACTACTGTCAGACTTAGAACCACGACAGTTGGCGCCCACCTTGGGGCAGGTGTCTTAGTGACTTATTGGAGAAGTTGCAATTTTTCCGATCTCCTTCATCATGGTTTCAGGCGGAGTTTTGGTCGAGGGCCGCGAGATCCGTCTCGGCGCGCTCACGTCCATCGCCGACGACTCTGCTTGGCTTCAGGAGGCTCCGCTCGACATCGACGCGCTCCCAGTCCGCGGAGCGACGCACTTTCGCGCGTGCGTCCACGGCGTCCTCCTGCGGCAACCGTCGACCCAGTATCGGTCGGTCGTTGTGTCATCCTCCCTCCCTGCTTCCCGCCGGCGCAAGCGCTCCGGTCGGTCGAGGCTTCAGCGGTGGGTGAGGCACGCGGTGGCCCGCCAGTCGGCCACCCCCCAAGTCGCGGCAATCGAGCCCGACGAATCTCTCTACGGCCTGTTCGACCTGTCGACTGGCTCCGCAGAGACTGCATCCGAGTGCGACAGTAGTGATCCAACGGCGGAGGTTCTGATGGTCGATGGACCATGCGATCCTCCCGGTTTTCCCGGCGCCGACGGAGGCGACGGCGGGGACGACCCGTCGCGTTCCCACGAGGAGTATCACCCTGAGCCCCTCACTTCGCTGCAAAGGGAAGAACTTCGCCGCCGGAACATGGATGCACTTCACACGCCCATCATTGGAGAAACCCCTGAGGCTCGTGCCTTAGAGGACGCACGCTTGGCTAACTTGGTTGAGCGCACTCGACTGGAGAACCTTCAGCGGGCACTCGACGAGAGTGCGCGGCAATGGGTTCCGAACTCCAGTCGACGTCAGCTCTTTCCACCACCGACTCAGGTATATCGAACTCCGATTCAGAATTTAGCAGCTGCAGCCTGTATAGCAGAGTCAATTCAACGTTCCCAGTCAGAGGTTGGCAGAGGCTTGATGCAGATCAGAGATTTGCTCCGGGCAGCAGGAGATCAAAATTCAGCTGTATCACAGTCGCGGAATAGGATTCACAGCAGATTCGTGGCTGCGAATACAGTCCAGTCGGCTCATAGCCCCAGATCGCCCCCGAGGCGTGAGGGGTGTGGAGACCGACACGATCAGTACAAGAACCGTGAGCAGTATGATCACCGATTCGATCGTGATGATCGACGTCGAGTGCCCACCCCTCCCCCAAGGGGTGGATCCTACGCACCTCGACAGCAGGATGATAGACGCTAGCACAGTGGTGGGCGAAGAATTCCAGTCGACCCCAGGGAACCAGGCTTTGATGCGAGGTCCATCATTGTTCAAGGTCTGGTCGACCGGAACAGAGCTCACCGAGAGGGTCACGACATAGATATACCCACCAGCAGCCGAGTGCATGTCTCAGGACCAGAGGTTTCAGCAGAGCCATCAGGGCCGCAATGATTCCCCCCAACTTCAGGTTGGCGACTGGAGTCAGTAAGTTCAATGGTGAGTCTAAGCCTGATACTTGGCTTGAAGACTACCGAGTGGCTGTCCAGATCGGCGGCAGAAATGATGAGGTGGCCATGAAACATCTGCCTCTTATGTTGGAGGGATCGGCCAGAGCATGGTTGAATCAGTTGACACCCAGTAGCATTTACACGTGGGAAGATCTTTCCCGAGTGTTTGTTAGAACGTTTGAAGGAACATGCAAGCGACCAGCAGGACTGACAGAGCTGCAAACTTGTGTGCAGAAGTCGAATGAGACTTTGAGAGATTACATCTAGAGATGGATCATATTACATCACACGGTAGAGAATGTATCTGATCACCAGGCAGTCTGTGCCTTCAAGGAAGGCATTAAGTACAGAGAGCTAAGCCTGAAATTCGGTCGAACCGAAGACATGTCTCTGAGTCGAATGATGGAGATAGCCACCAAATATGCCAATGGTGAGGAAGAGGATCGACTCCGGAGTGGCAAGCACAAGTCAGTCGCCCAGGAAACCGGAGGAGGGAACTCCAGTCGAAAGCAAAAGCGGAAAGCCGAGCCAGCTGCTCCTAGAGAAGCCTTGGCCGTGACTCAAGGAAAGTTCAAAGGGAAGCCCAAAGGGCCTTGGAACCCCAAGAAAGTGAAGGATAAAGAAGGAAATGACATGATGGATTTGCCGTGCCACATCCACATGAAGAAAGATGAAGAGGGTAATTTCATCTACCCGAAGCATACCACTCGACAGTGTCGACTCTTGATACAGCAGTTCCAAGGGAAACAATCCAAAGATAAGGAAAAGGAGTCGGACAAAGTTGAGGACAAGGGGGATAGTGACGAGGAATATCCTCAGGTCAATTCCACTCTGGTGATTTTTGCTGACGTTGAGAGCAAAAGTCGACTGAAAGTTATAAACCGAGAGGTGAATATGGTTGCTCCAGCGACACCCAATTATCTGAAGTGGTCTCAGACGGCCATCACATTCGACCAGTCTGATCACCCGATGCACATAGCCACCCCTGGGAGGCAAGCTCTGGTGGTCGACCCAGTCGTCGAAGGCACTCGACTGACTAAAGTGTTGATGGATGGCGGCAGTAGTTTGAATATATTGTACACAGAGACACTGAAAGGGATGGGCATTCCGATGTCCAGACTCAGCAGAAGCAACATGAGTTTCTATCGAGTCATTCCTGGCAAGAAGGCCGCGTCACTCGGCCAGATTGCTCTCGATGTGGTTTTTGGTGATTCCAAAAACTTCCGCAAAGAAAAGTTGACATTTGAGGTTGTGGATTTCCAAAGTGCCTATCACGCTATTTTGGGCAGGCCAGCTTATGCACGTTTTATGGCTCGACCATGCTACGTGTACCTCAAATTAATGATGCCTGGCCCCAAAGGTGTGATCACTGTTACTGGCAATCAGAAGAAGGCGGAAGAGTGCTTTCAGAAAGGCTCAAAGATCGCCGATGCTCAGATGGTAGCAGAAGAGTGGCAGGAACACCGGAGAAATGCAGACCCGAGTGATTTGTTGTGAGCCAAGAAGCCCGCTACGGAATCAGCATTTCAGTCGTCCGGTGAGACAAAGCCAGTTCACATCCACCCAACCGACCCCAACGCTGCTCCGACTAATATCTCCACAACACTTGACCCCAAATAGGAAGAAACGCTCATCCAGTTCCTCCGTGAGAACTGTGACATATTTGCATGGAAACCTTCTGACATGC